AGCCCAGAATGGACAAACCAAACCGTAGTTTCTCCTTTGCGCTTAGAAGGGGAGGGTGAAGCGTATATAATGTTGCTTAAACATGAATGGATAAATAATAATAATGATCTAATGCTATACTATATAATAGTACCTATATCATTAGATATAATATATACACTCAACTCACTCATCTGCATTAAGTACTTTTGATCATTTTAAATATATATATATTCTTCATAATACTTTTATACTTATTACTGTTGCTGTTAAGTAAATGATCTGAATATTTCCACTACTGATCTTGGCAGCCAATATATTATCTCATGGGAAAGAACATCAGGTCACAACAGTCATACCATTTGTACAGAAACAGAAGCACCCACTCGATTTCAGATGAGAAAACTCCCACAGGTAAGAGTGTCATGATGAAATACTAAACATTATCAAAATGGGTCTAGAAAGATGTGTGTCCATCACTAACTAGTAACACATTTGTCACAAACATGTTTTAGATTTATTATATCAAAATAAATGGCATGCCTTTAACACATACTCCCAAAACTGTTTATGTGTGGAGAAGCAAGCGTTTGCTGGCATTATTTCAGATGCAGTAAGCGTTGAGAACGCCCACATATACCCACACACATGCACATAAGTTGTAGCTGTCACAACACTGAGGATCATGCTGACATGATCGTGCTGATGAGCCAAACAGCATGTGAGTGAGATCGAGTGTCCACGCAACAGTACAGTATGTGTCATGAAGGAGGGAATGGTGAAGAGGGTATAAAAAATCTCCGGTCTCCTGGGGAAGCCATCACTAAAGTTAATTCTGTACTTTTAGAACAAAGAAAAACAAGTTAACATCCATTTTCAATGTGTTTTTAGGACTGTTGGTCAGAAAAAAAATCGACTGATGATGTTGCCTCAGGCTTTAGAAAATCCTGATGGGCATTTTTCAGTTTCATGGTGTTTAATAGACTAAATAATTAATTGTGATAATTAAGAAAAAACAATAGGTATGTTTATTAATAATGAAAACAATCTTTACTCACAGCCCTAGACTATATTGCATTATCACCTGGACTTTCTTTGGGATGAATTTTATCTTGTGGCTTAAATTTGTTATATATCACTTTACCGAGAAAATGTAATATTCTTACAGCTTGACGTTAAAACACAGGACAGCAGTTAATTAATCATAAATCTGTGTATCATTGTGTATAATATATTCTTGTTGTCATTTAATATCTGGAACTGTTATAAATAATACTCCTGTTCTTGATACTGTGTGGGTTTATGGGACTACAACTGGCCATTACTAAACAAGGACACTGCGTTTGCCTGCAAATTGGAGGGATGATGTCTGGGACACATTTCACTTCCATTAACAAAGGGCAACATGAAATCAGCTAGGTTACCCAATATGTAAACTCTTTGTAATAAAACCCTTTTAAAAAAAAATTTTTGTTTTTGTTTTGTCTGTTTCTAACAGAAAAAATACAGTTTACTACGTGTTTAAAATAAATTATTATTATTATTATAAAAATGATTCATGCCTTGGCTCTGAAATCACACTAATCACTATGATTCTTTAAATTGCCTCTTAAAACACATTTTTATCGACTGAACTATCAATATTTTGGAATAATTTGCATCAAAGATTTAAAAACAAACAAACATATTTTTAAATTTTTAGAAAAATGTGTTTTCTGCCTCATTTATTTAATTTCCGTACTGTATCATCTTTAATTGTTCGTTTTGTGTAAAGTACTTTTGTCGCTTATCGTTTGTTTTATTACTATCATATTATCATTATCATTATAAATTGTGCACACGTTTGTTTGATATCATTCACACATTGCTGTTGCTGTGGCTCTCTGACCCCTGAATGCTTCTGTCATCACAACCTGACACTGGACGTGAAGGCAGGGTTATTGTATGCGCAGGTTTGAATTCCAAAGAGGCCAGTAGAGGTGCAGCAGAATCTGCAAGAGGAGGAAGCCCTTTCTCACCGAGTCACACACCCACACACACACACACACACACACACACACACACACGAGATGTTTTCCACATCCCGGGGCTATTTGTAAGTCTATTCTGGCTCCTGGAAAGGGGAAGTGAATGTTGGCTGGACGTGTGGAACGTAGACGGGGACTTTGGATGATGTAGCCCTGCCGTACAGTAGCTGGAGGTGATGACTGGGGAAAACAGACGTGTTATTGTTTTTGTTTGGTTACAAGGATTATGAATGTATAAAAGTGGGATGGTTATTTTCATGTTTAAGATTATCTACTTAGAAACATTCACAATGGACAAGTAAAGCTTTGACCTTGTGTCCAGGGTGGGACAAGTACTTCGATCCTTACTGTATTCAAATTCATACTTACTAAATACTATACTAAAAGTACAGAGGTTTTGACAGCAAAATGAACTTAAAGTATAGTAAAGTAAAAGTAGTGGTTCTGTCATTGATATCCTACTATATATTATATTATAGATAGTATATAGATCATTTAAATTCATTTTAACTACTTTATATACAGTTAGGCAGTGGTTCCCAAACCTATTTGTCCAGCCCCAGGTTATATTTAAATAAAACCATAAGTTTGAAGTAGCATAAAAAGGAAATAAAGATGAATTAGGTAAAGTACACTGTACTTAACAGTATTTGAGTAAATGTACTTTGTTGCATTCCATGACAGCCAGCCATGTGTTTAAATACGAACAAATAAAAATCCCCCTCCTTACAATAAGGAGAAGGGACATGTTCGTTTAACAAAACTGAAAGTGCCAGCAGAAATGAGAGAACTTCATAGCCACACATGCACATCCAGAATCAATTCAAAGCCGCAAACCATAGTAAAAACATTTTCTAAATACAAAACAAACTCTCACTCACACACACCACATATTCCATGGCATATTCTGCAAAGTGTGATCTGAGTCATTTACTACACAGTCTCTCCGTACACTAGTACACAAGTCCAATACTAATATGTTCCTATATAACTCTGCTGCACTTTGCACATACAATAAGAAAGCAGTAGCAGTGCAGAAATGACAGACTAAAACAAATACTTCATGGTTTAAAATGCAATTAATGTTTCATCCGTTTAATATTAATACAGGTTAACGATTAGCTTTGGAACTTGGAGGGTTGACTAGACACAACAAATAACTTGTGGAGATGCTCCATACTCTTGATTGCAAACCACTCCACTTCCGTTCAACTGATGTCTACAGTGATTGTGGTTTGAGTGCTTTATGTTACAGTGTGGTCTGTCTAAAACTACTGGCCCTAGAAGTAGAAATTGGAAACTTAAGTGCCGTTCCAGTTGTCTTGGGGGCTATCCCGGACCAAGGAGGGTATTATCAATGGTTTGCCTCATTAGAACGAGAAACAACTGGGCATCAGCGGCCTGGCATCATCACTGCATGACTCCGCCTGGCAGAGCTTTGGGGTAAGCTGAAAGATGCCAGGGCATAATACCCACCACAGAATGTGGAAGAGAGACTGTGTGAGAATGACTGAAGTCAGAAACAGCTAAGGAATGTGAGGGAGACAAAAGACAGAAAATGTGGCAATCATTCCTCAACTCTGTGTCTCTGACCTTATTGTGTCCCAGTGCCAACACATATCCGATCTCAAGCACACCAGACAAACGCAGTTGACCCCATCTTTCTTTTGGCTCTAACTGAATGAACGGAAACGGCAAATCTTGGCTCAAGAACTATACAATGAGGAAGCCACCTTGGTAGCGCAACTAGGCCCATTTTGGCTGAAACTCGAGCAGAGGCGAAACGTAGCTCAGCTCAGGAGCCAAGAGGGGAAGGAAAGAGGAAGACACTGTAGCTCGAACGCTATGAAAGATGGAAGGCATTTTGGCTCAGAAAGCAGGGAAGGAAGAGAGGAGGGTGACATTGGTGACCTAGAGTGAACTCTGCCACCCCAATGAATCACAAATCACCTTGGAAAACACAATGCTTAATACCTTGTGGCCTGCGATAGTAAACACAGCTGCAAAATTAATTCTACAGCTTTTTCCCCCTTTCTTGATGCCAGACACATCATATAAATAGCTTGAGACTATAAAATGCATGTACAGTACAGAGAGGGCATATATGCTCACTAGATAATTTCTATAACTTCAAAGGCTGAACTACAGAACACATTTTTGTGTATGATGTGAGTATTATTTTGAAATATACTTGTAAAAAAATGTGTACTTAAAATTGATAGAGAAACAGCCACTGCCTCAGAAATGAACAACCTACATCACTGTGCTATAGGCTTCGGTGACTCAACCTGTAATTGTTATGCATGCATTTACCACCAGGGGTCACTGTAACCTTTTTATGCACTTTGAGTTTTTGAGGTCCAACTCACTTCAGCATCTGACCAGAAGGTGTCACCAAAGGCTCATTTATAATCAAACAGTCTCACACCCATCATAACATAAATGCAATCTAAAAAAAGGCCGAGCTTATGAATTAACTGTTCTTTAACAGAAAAGACAGATTTTTCTTCTAAAGCCGGAATGCTGATCACTGCTAGTTTTTTTTGCTGTAATGTTTCTGGTGATTCTTACATGGACCTGACTTCATCACCCATGCTCTGTTCATTACACGTGTCATTATTCTATTACGCCAACAGGGGTCGCTCTCTAACAACTAATAAATTATTAGGTTGCTGTTTGGTGAGAGACTATGTCTGTAGTTCATGGTCCACTGGATCAAATCAGTGTTATCGCCACAATAACTGTTTTACCATAACACACAAGGCTGCTAGTGTAGTAAAAAGGAGTATATCAAAACGTGTTACATATCAGAGTGAGAAAACAATCCACATACAGGCATTTAGTTATACAAAAAAGAGAAAAGTATGTGACTTACAGAGCGCAGATGGGGTAGGAACCTCTCTATGTCATTCATGTCTATGCCATCATCTTCCTCAAACTTGTTTTTGTTCATCCTGAAAGAGAGGGGGAGAGAATCAACAGACTGTAACCATCAGGGATCAAAAAGTGATAGGGCACAGTTCTAAAGAAATAACTGAGACAATACGGGATAATCAAAGCAATACTGAGACAGGCAGCACCAGTAGAACTGCATACTGTAGATAAAAACCTAAGAACCCAAAGCTTAGAACTTACCCCTCTCTGTCAATGTGTGGCAGGTGCTTTGGCGTTCCTCTTAGGTGTTTCCTGTGGAAATGGCTGAAGTCCAGCTTCTCTGGCTGCACGTCCCAACCTGCACCTCTATAATCAAGAGACAAAAAGACAGATTAAAGGTTAGAGACAGCTGAAAAACAAGAAAAGACAGCATCCACATTTTAAACGTATGAAAAAATAAGTTAACTTCAGGTGAGAAGTCTTAAAGCCTGACTTGTTGTTACTGGGCAAGGCTCACATCAAACCAATAAGAAGAGCACACACAAATACAGAAACCTCTGTGTGCAATGACCAGCACTGTTCTAACTTTTAGAAGAAAATAATGTGGGACCCCATCATTCATAGTAAGAAGCTGATTGAGAGAATAGGTTTTCAGGGCCTTTCATTTTCATAATCATCAGTTCAACACTGACCTTCTTTATTTGCATGAACATAGCTTTATCTGAATGCTAAAGAGGGCAAACTGGGGAAAAGTCTCAATTATTTTTGGCTGATGTCTAAAATAGAAAATTTATGTTAGTTGCTAATCATCTTGGTCATCTTGTATTACATCAGAGCAGGTAATGGAGTGTGTGAGCAGTGCCAGATAACCATCTATTAATGGAATTTGTTCTTGTTACTCATTTGCTTTAAATTACATCAAACACAGGTCAGGTCTGTGGTGAGGTGTAGGGGGACAGCTACATTTAATAAAAGGATCTATCAATCACTGACCACCATGATGCTACAATAGACTTGTGTCACCACTAGATGAGGCTGGTGGACGAGACTGACTTTATTCACTTCGATACAAAGACTGCATAAAATACATATAAAATGTTTGTTTTTTCCAAAAAACAAATAACTTAAGAGGCACAAAAGCTTTGACAAACAGAACAAAAAAATTCAGCAAGCTTCAGAGCTGTATTGTGGTATTTTAACAATAGGTGTTATTCTACTGATTATATGTTTTAACTGTTCCTAAAAAAAGACCATCACATCCATTTGGGTTACACCTTTGTCCACATACAAAGTTTATTTGACCTGTCCCATACTGTAACACTACAATGAATGGCTGACCTACCAACTCTACCAAAACTGATCCAACAGACAACAATTTCTTTTTGAGGCTCTGAGCCATAGCAAAACTTTCAATTGGAAGGCTTTAAATAGAAGGGCATAAACATTTCCTAATTAAAGTCATCATTGTCTCAATCCATGCTACTCTTCACCTCTGTGGGCACGCAGGGAGAGTTGCTTACATCATCCTACTGTGCCGGCTCCTTCGCTCTGTGCTCAGACGTGCCAACGTGGCCGGAACTGAGGCTGCTGTGCAGCTGTTACCATGGCAACCTGTTCCTCCCTCCACTGTAACTGATTTATGTCTCACTTGTTTCCTTTCCTTTCTCCTCTAACTTTAGATAGATATGTAGCTCTTGTTTGAAAAATGCTTTAGTCATACAGAAGTTTACACGCAGAGCTCACTTGTAACCAACTAGGTTTCAAACACTGAGGCTCAATGTTTACAGAGGAAGCAGACGAGCCTCCATTAGCTAGATATAATATAAATATGGCTGTTGGCAGAAAAGACATAACAAAACACTTCTCATCATCAGCACAAACTCCACTATTTAGCAGTGGAGCTTCTTGATTAACTTCATTAAAGTTCATCTTGGCCGTCATGTGATGATCCTAATTGTATTTCACGTTAATATCTGTTCCTTTGATACCCACAATAAAGGCCAGCAATTATCTAGGTCTTTAAAATTAAAGATGGGAAACATGGTTTTGTGTTAACGAGGCTAAACCAAATTAGAAATTTGAACAGTTGACATCTAATTAACAAAGATAACTACAGATGAGCAAGGTTCATCAGGTTCATCAGGCTGAAACGAAGTCAAAGACGGTGAGAAGAGCGACTGAAAGAAATAGGACAGCAAGGCACCTACCCGTGTGAGTCCATTGTGTTCGCTGCCCATATATCTGTCCCCAGGATGTCAAAGGAGCCATCTCTGTTCCCGTTCTAGACAGCACACAAGGAAGAGGAAAGTATGTAAGTACGTTTCAGTATGACTACAAAACGTTTAAACTTGTACACCATTGAAACCGCTATTTTTCTGAACCGATTCCTTTCTAATTAAAATAAGTAGGGTTCTTTCCTGCCTGCCTGTGTGTGTCTGTATCTGCTTGTCTCTCACTCCCTAGACACAACTGACAAATATGAGGAATAAGGACGTGTTTTAATCACAAATATATTATAGATAGTATATCTATATTTGGGCCAACAGCCCTACATACTGTACATTTTCTAAACCTTGTATGTTCCTGGTGTCTTCATCTGCGTATGAATATACGGTACATTTACAACCTCTGTGTCAAAACAAGCATTAAATCTATTTAGCATGTTATTATTAGTCATGCTAATGATGTTGACCTTCTTGACACGCTGGAATGGCAATACTGTTGCTATGGCATATATGTATATCTGACTATACCACACGGCCATTCTCTGTTTGAGAAAGAACGTTAACCAAAAATGTGAGTTAAAACTGGCTGGAGGGGGGGCTTTAAAGGTCCAGTGAGTTAGATTTAGGAGGATCTATTAGCAGAAATTCAATATAATATTCATAGGTATCCATTATTTCCATTAGTGTATAATCACATGAATGAATCACAAAAGAATCGTTGGGTTTTCATTACCTTAAAATTAGTGTTTTTTTATCTACAGAGAAAGCAGGTCCTCTTCTACGGAGTTCGCCATGTTCAACAGTAATGTTTCTACAATAGCCCAGAATGGACAAACCAAACAATGGCTCTAGATAGGCCTTTTCACCATGGTTTATCCTACATGCTTGGTTGATGCGAGGAGTTTCAGTTGTTTGCTATCTGCAACTTCATTGCTAGATGCCACTAAATCCTACACATTGATCCTTTAATGAGGGTGAAGATTTGGTTTGTGGTGACATGCTGTGGTGCTTGTCAACAAAGATGACTAAAGACTCCCAAGGGAACAATACAATGAGCATGGTTAAAAGTTAAGTGCTAGATGTAGCCAAATCGGTTTCCTTTCATTTCTTTCAGAGGTGATCAACACAGCAGATAAACATACACACAAACAAACAAACAGGCACACAGATGTATCTGTACCTTGGCAGGGCCTTTGAACTGGTTGTTTCTGCCCCTGCTGCCGGAGCGTGAGCCGGATCCTGGTCTAGACCCTGAGCTGGGCCTGGAACCTGTACTGCCGTTACTGCTGTGTTCCCATTCGTCCTGCAGAGTTCAGAGAGGGGATGGAAAAAAAGGACTGAGTAATCTGTTCAAAATTCAAAATTCTGTTTTATTTTCTGTCATAGTGTCTGTCCTCTGTGTCCCCCTGAAACCCCTTTTTATCTTTGAGTAAAACTGGATGGTCCAAATTAAAGCCGACTGCAGCTTGGCAGAAGTGTGTGTACATGATGTTTATCTCTAACATAAGCTGATATTAATAATGTTACATGTATCTTTACTGTGTGTTAAAAATGTCTTGTTGTCTTATGTCTGTAACTTTTAACCACCCCTAGATTAGTTTCAGAACATCTTGCCATGGCACTGTTGCAGCTGAAACTTAGCCAGTTGGCTAACACTAGCACATTTACA